AGTAATCTCACAACCCTTGAAGCCTAGGGCACTGACAAATCCACAGACATGACCAGTGTTGTAATCAACAACAAAAGAAGCTACAACAATGCTACATTAAAGCCCTCACCTGGAACCAAAGTCACTACGGTACATCCAACCAACACCAAAAAGACACAAAAGCCACCCTATAAAACTGGGAGAGGCAAGCAACCATGATCAAGTGGAATTTATCATAGTGATGCAAGAATGGTGTAATATAGGCAAACTAATAAATATCATACACTTCAACCGAATGAAGAGTAAAAACCATATGATCAACTCAATAGATGCAGAAAAAGCATTTGGTGAAATTCAACATCCCTTCCTGATATACACTTAAAAAGCCTAGAGGGGCCGGCACTGTGGCATAGCAAGTAAAACCATTACCTGCAGTGCCAGCATCCCACATGGGTGCTGATTCAAGACCTGGCTGCCCCACTTCCAATCCAGCTCTCTGCTATTGCCTGTGAAATCAATGGAAGATGGCCCAAGTGCTTGGGCCCCTGTACCCATGTGGGAGACCCAGAAGAAGCTCCTGGCTCCTGGCTCCTGGCTTCGGATCAGCAAAGCTCTGCCCATTGTGGTCATCTGCGGAGTGAACCAGCAGATGGAAGACTCTCTCTTTCTCTCTCTCTCTCTCTGCCTGTGCCTCTCTGTAACTCTGCCTTTCAAATAAAATAAAAATAAAGGGCCTTGAAAAATAAGATCAGAAGGAATGAATCACAACAAAGACTATATATGACAAACTCCCAGCCTGTATCACATTAAGAGGGGGAAGCAGAAATAGTTTCCTCCAAGATTAGGAACAAGACAGGGATACCATGCTTAATGTAGAACCAGGGTCTTAGCTAAAGCAAAGAGGCAAGAGAAAGAAGTAAACAGCATTCGGGGTCAGCTCTGTGGTGCAACGAGTTAAAGCCCTGGCCTGAAGTGCCGGCATCCCATATGGGCGCCAGTTCCAGTCCTGGCTGCTCCCCTTCCAATCCAGCTCTCTGCTATGGCCTGGGAAATCCGTAGAAGATGTCCCAAGTCCTTGCGCCCCTGCACTCACGTGGGAGAAACTCCCTGCATCCACCAGGAAGAAGCTCCTGACTCCTGGCTTTGGATGGGCACAGCTCAGACCATTGTGGTCATCTGGGGAGTGAACCAGCAGATGGAAGTCCTCTCTCTCTGCCTCTACCTCTCTCTGTAACTCTGTCTTTCAAATAAATAAATCTTTTTTTTTTTTTAAAAAGAAGTAAACAGCATTCAAATAAGAAAGGAGGAGGTCAAATTACCCCTCTTTGCAGACAACATGATTTATATATAGAATACTCTAACGATTTCATCCAAAAAACCTGTTAGAATTGATAAATAAATCCAGTAACACTGTAGGACATAAAATCAACATAGAAGCTTTTTCATATATCAACAATGAAATCGGTGAGAAAGAAGTCAAGAAAGCAGTCCCATTCACAATAAATAGAACAAAATATTAAAATACCTAGGGATAAATTTAACAGAAGTGAATGACCTCTACAATGAAAATCATAAAATATTGATGAAAGAAATTGAAGAAATGGAAAAACATCATGTATGTGGGTTAGAAGACTGATACTGTTTAAATGTCTATAAAATTTAAAGAAATTTACAGATTCAACACAGTCCTTACTAAAATTCTAATGACATTCTCCACAGAAATATAAAAAACACTTCGAAAATTTATATGGAACCACAAAAGACCCCAAATAGCCAAACCAATCCTGAGGAGAAAGCAAAGCTGGGGGCATTACAACACCTGGCTTTAAAAAATACTACAAAGCTACAATAACCAAAATGGTATGGCACTGGCATTAAAAACAGACCCATGGAACAAAACAGAGAACCCAGAAATGAATCCACATAGTTATAGCCAACTGATTTTTTAAAAAGATTTATTTATTAATTTGAAAAGCAAAGCAACACATAGAGGGGCAGAGACAGCTCTGGTCAGGAACTCTTTCCTGGTCTCCTATATGAGTGGAGGAGGCCAAGCACTTGGGCCATCCTCTGCTGCCTCCCCAGGCACAATCCAGGAGCTGGATTGAAAACAGAGTAGTCAGGACTAGAACCAGCATTCAGATATAGAATATGGCTCATCAAGCAGCAGCTTAGCACGTTGTGCCACAATACCAGCCGCCAGTCAACAGACTTTTGATAAAGACAGCAAGAACATACATTGGAGAAAGGACAGTCTCCTGAATCAACAGTGCTGGGAGAACTGGGTATCCACAGGCAGAAGAAAGGAACTAGTTCCTTTATGTCTCATCATGTATGAAAATCAACTCAAAATGGGTCAAAGACTTACATGTGAGACCTGAAATTATGAAACCATCAATAGAAAACAGAAGAAATACTTTAGGACACCGTCTCAGCAATAATTTGGGGGCGGGGGATATGATCCCCAAAGCACAGGCCACATCGAAGCAAAAATACAAATGAGATTACTTCAGACTAAAATCCTTTTGGACAGGGAAGAAAATAATCAGCAGAATGAACAGACAACCTACAGAATGAGAGAAGCTACTCACAAACTACTCTGCTGACAAGGGACTAATTTCCAGAATATTTAAATAAATATTTAAATATTTAAAGAATATTTAAAGAAAGCAAAACAAAACAAACAAAATAAAGAGAATGTAAAAATCTCCAGCAAGTGTATGAAAAAATGCTCAACATCACTAATCATCAGAGAAATGAAATCCAAACCACAAGGAGATGCCATCTCACCCCAGTTACTATGGCTGTTATCAAAAGAAAATGGATCAGATGCTGCTGAGGATGAAGGGAAAGGGGCTCTTTCATGTCCTACAGGTGGGAATAATCAGCACAGCCTGTTTGGAAAACAGGACGGCGGCTGTTTGTAAAACTACAAAATGAAATTATTGTAAAATATAGCAATCTCAGTACTGCATATATAAACTAAAGGAACTGAAATTGGTACGCCAAAGACATCTGAACTTGCTGTTAAATGCAGCGCTATTCACACTAGCCAAAATATACAATCAACCTGGGTGTGTATCAACAGCTGAATGGGTAAAGAAAATGTGGTATGTACACATAAGGGAATATCACTTAGCCATAAAAAGAATGAAACTCTGTTACTGGGAGCAACGTGGATAAAACTAGAAGACATTAAGTGACGTAAGTCAGGCACAGAAAGACAAATACTACATGTTCCCACTTATACACATTTTGAGCTAAAAAGCTGATCCTGAAGAAGTAAAGACTAGAAGAGTGGTTACCAGAGTCTGGAGAGGGTGTGGGGAAGAGGGACGCAGAAAGGATGGCTAACGGGTACAGGGGTGCAGCTGGAACAGGAGTAGTCAAGTCTAATGTCGTATAGCACAGGAGGACAACTGTACTTGTCAACAATTAGTTGAGTATTTCTTTTTGTAAAGAGTTATTTATTTACTTATTTATTTATTTTATAGGCATGGTGACAGAGACAGAGGGGGCAGGAGGAGACAGACATGGGTGGCAGGGGCCCAAGAATATGGGCCATCTTCCATTGCTTTCCCAGGCACATTAGCAGGGAGCTGGATCGGAAGCAAAGTAGCTGGGCCGAGAGCCAGGTCTCCAGTATGGGATGCTGTTGTGCCACAATCCTGGCTCCAACTGAAAATTTCGAAATAGCTAGCAGAGAGAATTTTCAGTGCTCCCAACACAAAGAAATGATCTATGCCTGAGGTGATATGCCAGTTACCCTGATCTTATCATTAAACTTTGTAAATAAATATGCATAATTACTAGGGATCAATTAAAAACCAAATTACATTTTTATAAAGTTAATAGAACTTAAAAAATACATAGCCATGGGGCTGGCGCTGTGACTCAGCGGGTTAAGCCATGGCTTGTGGTACCAGCATCCCCTATGTGCCCCAGTTCGAGTTCTAGCTCCTCCACTTCCAATCCAGCTTCCTGCTAATGTGCCTGGGAAAGCAGTGGAGGATGACTCAGGTACTTGGGCCCCAGCACCCACATGGAAAATCTGGAGGAGGCTCCTGGTTCCTGGCTTCGGCCTAGCCCAGACCCAGTTATTGCAGCCATTTGGGGAGTGAAACAGCAAATGGAAGACCTCTCTGTCTCTGTTCTCTCTCTGTAACTATGCCTTTCCAACAGATAAAACAAAAATTTAAAAAAATAAAAAGTTAAAAATTTTTAAAAACAGATAGTTGTAAAGTATGCACGTATCATGATGTTATTTCTTCATCTTCTTTTTTTAAAAGATTTATTTATTTATTTGAAAGAGTTACATAGAGAGAGGAGAGGCAAAAAGAGAGAGAGGTATCTTCCATTCACTGGCTTATTCCCCAATTGCCTGCAATGACCGGAGCTGCACTGATCTAAAGCCAGGAACTAGGAGCCAGGAGTTTCTTCTGGGTCTCACACACAGGTGCAGGGGCCCAAAGACTTGGGCCATCTTTACTGCTTTCCCAGGCCATAGCAGAGAGCTGGATCGGAAGTGGAGCAGCCAGGAACAGAACCACTGCCCATGTGGGATGCCAGCACTGCAGGCGGTGGTTTAACCTGCTATGTCACAGCACCGGCACCCATGTTATTTCTCTAATTCTCAATGGCACACTCCTCAAAGAATGCCAATTTACTGATCTATTTTCCTCACATGGGAAATGGCTATCCTTAGTCATGCTAAAGTAATCCTAGGTCGTCTGTCATGGTTCTGTGATAAATCTGTCAACTTGTGGGCCCCACGGTGATAGAGCTCTAAGCAGAAGCCAGCTGAAGTTTGTCAAAACAGCAGGACACACTCATGGGACCTCTGCTTCCTCTCCAAGTTCATTCCAGGTCAAAGCACCACTTCTCAGCCCTGGGAATGCACCTCTCACCTCAGCTGTGTCCAATGCCTAAACTGCCAGGTAACAGAAAGACAGGTCTATAATTTGGGGTGTGAGAAGAGGAGAAAAATATTTGTCACTGCCATTGACTTTTTTCTTTAATACCTGTAATCCATTAAAAGATGGAACAAAATAAACTCCTTCAGAATCTTCCAAACTTTTGGCCATTTTTTCAGTTTCAGCAGCATCTGTGAAAAGATCTGCAAAAACAAACAACAACAACAACAAAACCCTAAAACAAAATGAAAGGGTTGGGGAAGGAAAATAGAACTATGCCGTATGACTACTATTATCTGCATACACATTTATTACGAATATAACATCAACTGCAACTCAACCAAGGGTTAACACAAAGGCCCTCTGTTCTGGTTTGAAGTCCTCAGACTACAGAGGCTCGCAAGCCCACAGAAGGCCCTGTGAATATGTAGCAGCCGTTATTTTTCCTTTAAAGATATTGGGGCTACATGAAGAATTAATCATATGTATGTTTTGGGGGATTAAGGAATTATTCTCACAAAGATAAGAGTCATCCTACTTTTCTGATGAAAGGACTTGTCATCTTACAACACCCAAGAGAATCAGATGAGAAACCTCTCCATGTTATGAGTTCAGCAAGAGCCAGTAACACGTATACTAAAAGTCAATCTTTTAAAAACAAGTAAACAAACAACAACAAGAAGCAATTCATTCATAACTTTTTACTGATGTAAATATTTCAAAATGCATAAGTCCTAAATGTACAGCTGGATGAATTTTCAGTGTGGCTGCACCTGGGTAACTCACCAGGTAACACGCATTTCAAAATATGAACATCTTTTGCTCAACATTATGCTTATGATATTCATATCGCCTTTTTAATGATTTGTTTATTTATTTGAAAGACTGAGTTACAGAAAAAGAGGGAGAAACAGAGAGAGAAACCTTCCATCAGCTGGTTCACTTCCCAGATAGCCACATGGCAGGGGCTGCTGGGCAAGCCCAAACCAGGAGACTGGATCTCCATCTGGACCTCCCACATAGGTGGCAGGGGCCCAAGCACTTGGGCCATCATCTGCTGCTTTCCCAAGAGCATCAGCGGGCAGCCGGATCAGAAGTGGAGCAGCTGGGACTTAAATCGACACTTCTATGGGATGCTGGAGTCACAGGCAGTGGCTTAATCCACTGTGCCACAACACCAGCCATGACAACCATTCCTATTGTACATGCGGTTGAACTCCATTCATTCTCACCCTTACAGAGTTTTGCATTATATGACTCTAATGCTATTTATTAATCTATTCTGCTGATATGCATTTGGGTAGTTTCCAGGGGTTGGCTAATAAAAATAAGCCACATTGAATATTTGTGTACATTTTTTTGGTGGACATATGTACTTGTTTCTTTTTTCTTTTTTAATTAATTAATTAATTTAAGAGGCAGAGTTACAGACAGAGAGAAGGAGAGGCAGAGCAGAGAGAGATCTTCCATCCACTGGTTCACTTCCCAAATGGCTGCAACAGCTGGAGCTGTGCCCATCCGAAGCCAGGAGCCAGGAGCTTCTTCCTGGTCTCCCATGTGGGTGCAGGGGCCCAAGCACCTGGGCCATCTTCCACTGCTTTCCCAGGCCATAGGCAGAGAGCTGGATCAGAAGAGGATCAGCTGGGACACGAACCAGCACCCATATGGGATGCTGTGCCACAGGTGGAGGCTTAACCTACTATGCCACAGCACTGGCCCCATATTTCTTTATTAATACTGGACAGAATTGCTAGTTGTAATATCTTTTGTTTAAATAAACTTATTATTTCATTCCAGTCTTCCACAACCTTTTAAATTTTATTTTAAAAAAGATTTATTATTTATTTGAAGGCAAGAGACAGAGTGATCTTCCATCCACTCATTCACTCCCCAAATGGCCACCATAGCAGGGTCTGGTCCAGGCTGAAGCTAGGAACCAGAAATTCCATCCAGGTCTCCCATATGGGTGGCAGGGGGCCAAGCACTGGGGCCATCCTCTGCTGCTTCCCCAGGTGCATTAGCAGGGAACTAGATTGGAAGTGGAGCAGCCAGAACTTGAACTGGCACTTTGACTTGGGATGCCAGCATTGCAGGGAGCAGCTTACCCCACTGTGTGTGCTACAATGCCAGCCTCGTAGTTGTAAGGCCTTCGCATTTGTGACTACCTTTAGCAGATACTGCCAAGCAGTTTCCCAAAGTGGCTCCTCTCAGAAGCATAAGAATTCCAGTTCCCCCACATTCTTACCAATGATTGGTGTTGCCTGTGTTTTTCATGTTAGTTATCTGGCAACGTTGCATGCTGATTGGCTTCACTCATCCCTGTTGATAAGTGAAGCTGAATACCCTTTAACTGGCCATGGGATATCCTCTCTGTGAAGTGACACCTGAATGAGCATAGCAGGACTGACAGCACCGAGCAGAGAAAAAAGCTCAGGAATGAGTCCTAATATTGCTGACTTTGCAGTGTCTGTTAAAGTAGGTTCTATTTCACAATGTGATTTGTTAAACTTATGATAAACAATTGGCTAAAAAATACATTTAAGGAGCAACTACATTAAAACTGAAGTTAATGAGGAGCATTCAACAAGATTACAAAATTTCCTTAAAACCCATACATTTCAAGCATTTGGCCAAAACATCCCAGATAATAAATCAAAATGTCTCTAATGCTTCAAAAAGTAATGTTAAAAAGAAAGCAGTGGTTTTAAAATCTATTCTTTAAAAAAAATCATGTCCAAACATCTACATTTTTAAATTCAGACAAGACATAGAAAAAATACTGGACAGCTGCTTTGAGGAAAGTTTCTGGTAAGAGCCAGAGAAACCAAGAGACAGGGAAAGAGGGACGGATAGAGAGAGTTAGCTTATTCCTGTTCTTCACTGTTTGTTCCTTCCCTTGCGTGAATAATCTCTCACGGAAACAGCTCTCAAATGAGCTTCCTGACAGCAAGCCTTCTGTAGTGAGCACACCGCACATGGCCTCTCCCACTGAAGGCACCAAGAATCCCAGGTGGAATGCGTGGAAAGGCTAGGTGAGGCCTCCTATCCGAGGCCGGCAGGCAGACGGGAGAACGTAAAGTACCACCAAACTGCGGTGAGCTTCCTGATGGAGTTTCTCTGCTATCTCCTGGCCTAGACTTACCAGCCTGAGACCCAAAACCCAGGTCTGCGCACTGCGGGGCAAAGATGAAAGCTTTAGCCATAGGAGAAGCCCACTTTTGCTGGTCTGATGAGCAGGACGTGGGACTGCTACAGGACAGAGTGGGCAAACAGGCTGTTTTTTTTTTTAAACAATCTCATTCTTTTTTTAACATATAAACTTTTTTTTAAGATTTATTTTTTTTATTGAAAGACAGTTACAGAGAGAGGTAGAGACAGAGAGCGAGGTCTTCCATCCGCTGGTTCACTCTCCAGACGGCTGCAACAGCTGGAGCTGCACCAGTCCGAAGCCAGGGCCAGGAGCTTCTTCCAGGTCTCCCAAGTGGGTACTTGGGCCATCTTCTACTGCTTTCCCAGGCCAAAGCAGAGAGCTGGATCAGAAGAGGAGCAGCCAGGACTAGAACCGGCGCCCATGTGGGATGCTGGCGCCTCAGGTCAGGGCGTTAACCTGTTGCATCACAGCGCCGAAACAGGCCATTTTTGATGTTTAAATTTTTGCTCCCCATTCTCTCGGGCTGAACTCCCAGGCAATCCCATGGTAGCAGCCGCTGCAGCCCAGCAGCACTGGCATATAAAACTTACAAGAGACACAGGGGGCTTGCTTCTCTTTCTTTCTTCTTGTCTCCCTGCCCCAGGCCCCAGGAATTCTGTGCCTAGAGTGACAACAGAGCAGCCCAGGCAAGCAAAACTCCAAGGCAAGAGCATTAGGGAAGCTCCTTTTGCTTTCCTTCCTTCCTATCCTCCTCCTTCCCTCCCTCCCCCCCTTCCTCCCTTCCTTCCTTCTTCTTTTCCCCTCCATCTCTGTCTCTGTCAACCCTCTTGCTATGTGGCTAGGGAGGTAGCAGTAGTAGCAAAAAGTGTATTCAATATAGTAGAGAAACAGACGTAGCTTTCTAGCCAGAACATCACAGCAAGGCCTGCTCTGAGAGTCAGAAGTGCCACAGAGGTCACGGAGAGAAAGGAGCTCAAGAAAGCTGCCTGATCAAGTTCTTCATGAATTCCTGGTCTTCCTCCTGAGCCGGCCCCAAACAGCACACCAAAGGCTTTAACTGATCTCCAGGTAGACCATTGCCCAGACCCGCCACTGGGTGGCGCAAATGAGAAACAGATCCAAAGAGCAAGGCTAAAGTTTTGGAAACTGAACTGACACGGGAACCACAGCCCAAAGAAAGCAGCAACCTCAGCATAGCTGAATTTCTTGTCTGTGAGAACAACTGGAAATATTAGGAGTGGGCGTGCGGTCTGCGTTCCGTAGCAGACGGCCTGGATTCCAGTCCTGGCTCTAGGCCCGATTCCAGCTTCCTGCTTATGCACACTCGCAAGGCAGCAGGTGACGGCTCAAGCCCTTGGGTCCCTGCCACCCTTGTAGGAGACTAAGATTGAGTTCTGGGCTCCTGGCTTACGCCTGGTCCATACCCAGCTGCTGCAGCCATCTGGGGAGTAAGCCAGCAGATGGAAGGGACTTCTCTCTCTCTCTCTTGCTCTGCCTTTCAATTAATAATAAAATTTTTTAAAACTGTTAAAAAATTATTTTAAAAATCTGCAAACAACTCTGAATAAATATTATTTGTTGTGCTGGTAAAGGTCTATAAATTCTAAAATTTAGGGGGCCTACGTGTGGCACAGAATGGTTAAGCTGCTGTCTTCGAAGAAGGATCAGAGTGCCAGTTTGGGTCCCAGTTACTGTTTCTGATCCAGGTTGCTGCTCATGTGCCTGGGAAGGCAGTGAAAGATGGTCCAAGTGCTTGGGCCCTACCGTGCATATGGGAGACACAGATGGAGTTCCTGGATCCTGGCTTTGGCCTGGCCCAGACCCATTTGGAGGGTGAACCAGAGGATGGAAGATCTCTTTTTCTCTGTGACTCTCCTCCCTCTCTGCCTTTCAAATAATAAAATAAACCTTAAAAAAATAAATGAATTATGAAACTCGTGTATACTTTAAGATTGAGTAAATGAGTAATATTTAGAATCAGGGTTATCAATGAAGAAAAAGGAAGATAAAAATATAGGACAGGGAAAGACAAACAAGGACCCTTTGGAGCTA